AAAACAAATTAGTTGTAAAAAGTATTAGACTACTAAAGAATCAACTTGATTTTTTCATATTTTTTTAATATAACTAGTATCCGAGAATACCGATCAGGGAGAAGCGACAGCTTGGTGTTTTCAGTGTACCGTTTAAAAACGCGCATGTGCGAAAATAAGTTGTGTATCACTCAAAGTCAGTCCAAGTTGTGTTTAGTACGTGAGCAATGTTAAGTGATATTTTTTGGTGTTTGTTTTGTGTAGATGAAGATTTTTACATACTTAGGTATTCTAATACTGATATAAAATGTGCCAAAAAAGTTATTAGGAAACTAAGAATTTTATCACATGCATAAATATTAAGTATAATGATTTAATCATTTTTGACATTTTATTTTTCATATGTAGGTATTGTTTTTTGTGAAATATGTTTTTCTTGTTTTAAATAAATTTAATAAACAATGAACTGCAGATTTTGTTTATTTTATTTTGAAATTATATTTAAAAAAATATAATAAATTCGCTTGTTTCAAATAGGATTGGACAAAGTGGGCGAAATCCCTTTATTATGGCTAAATTTTAAGTTACAATTATGTTAATATAAAGATGTTTTGTCCATTCATATTTACATTTATTGATTGACTCATACTGGAATTGATTTTGGAAATATTGGTGCATACTTAAATAAGTAATATTTCTAAAAATTCGTCTATGCACACCTAGTCCAATGGACGTCCACTTTAAATCTATTTGAGGGTCAGGACGTCCATATCCGGACATCCAGTGTACGTCCGTTTATGCTAATTAAATTGACAGCTGAATATCGATATCCAGAGAACGTCTGTTTTTGGACTTAATTTTAAGTTTAGTAGTATTTTGACGTCCACTGGATGTCTATCTTAGGTCATTATTTATTAAGCCTGCCAGGTAATACCTTTTATATATACTTCTTTTTTTTAATATAACTGGTCATTAAAAATTGACAAATTGAATATATTGCATTTCATTATATCAGCGGAAGTTTGAAATCTTATTCAATTATAACTGTATGTAGTTAAAAGGTTTCAAGTGGTTCCTTGGTTGAGCTCGTCTAGCGATTGAAAGCGTAAAACGATAATGGAAAAGTGTCGTGAGTTCGATACCTGCTTAGGTCAAGAGATTTTTAATAAAAAATAAATAAATGGTGTATAGCGGTTTGCGAAAATAATAAACAAATTATTAATAATATAAAATAGTGTGTGGTGAGTTGCGGTTCTGTAAAAAAAATGGGGATGTGGTCTCAATGGAAATATAATCCTAGACATTTTTTGAAAGTTTAGTATTCGACGTCCAAATATATTCCAGAATTGGACGTCCTCTGAATGGTTAAAAGTGTGCCATTTGTATACTTCACTGGACGTCCATTGTATGTCGGAAGTCCAAACGTCTAGACATCCAAAATTGTATATAGAATGGACGTCCAATGGACATATTTGTATTGTCTGGGTGATAGCCAGGCCAGGTATTTAATTCTAAATACATAAACCTTAAGTGACATCTGGTTTAACTTGGCGAGAAAACACTTGTTTCTACAGAAATGAGTGATAAACTTGAAAGTCCTTTTAATATAATATAAATCTAGAAATTCTAAAAATATGTAAGTACTTTTTGAACCTAAAAGCTTTGAAAATATATGCACATTGCAAATATTTAGTTAAACCTCTCAAACTTAATGTCTTTTTTAATTGTTACCTAATTTTTTTTGGCACCCTTAATTTTATTTACCCTATTTTTACTTAAGGAAAAGGTAATTTAATTTAAATATGGGGCTTTTATTACATTTTTAACAATAAATAAACCAAATATTGAACAAATTTTATAGATAAATTATAAAATAATAAACGTCTTTTACTTTTATAACAAATAATTAATTATTACATAATGAATTATATTTTGGTGCCGAAATTTCACCATTGCTATTAACTCTAACTACTTGCAATATTTGCGCATGGACTATAACAATAATTTCAGATAATTTACCATACTATTTCGCTCAGTGTAGAAAATAAGCATGTTTTCTCAGCGTGCTAAGTTGTGTATCAATCAAAGTCATGCTGTGAAAAAGGTACATCCGATATCAAAGGCACCGACAGCTACTGTCGCTTCTCCTTAATGGGTATTCTCGTATAGTATTTCATAAGATTGTCTGTTAATAGTTATTTATGCAACAAGTGCAAAAAGTGTTTATTGGACGCGACGTGAAACATTGAGGTTCTCAATTCGTCGGTATATACATTTGTTTAATGTATGTTCAGCGATAATTCTTTAACATGATATCTGATTTCAATAATTATTTTGTTGTTAGATAGGGGGTATTTTAGGGGTGGTTCCATATACATTTTGTCAAAATATAATGATTAAGTTCATAAGAAAATCCTCAATCTCTTAATTTTTTATGTATGTTTAGCGATAAGTCTTTACCGATTTCTATGATCCTTTTTTGTTAGAAAGGGGATACTTCAGGAGTAGTTCCATATACAATTGTTTAGGATCTAAAAGAAAATAAAAAAATTAAAATTTTTAAGGGCATTTGCATGATTTTGAAGTCGGTTATTTAATTTAAAAAATATAGAACATTTTGAAATGTATTAAAACTTTTAAATTTTACCGTCTTCCTATTTATTCTTTATGAATAATAGTATATTATTACACGAGCGCTTATGTAGGTCATTATTCACGAGGGTGAAGATTGAGCCCACGAGCCGAAGGCGAGTGGCTCAATCACCAGAGTGATTAATGGCCTACATAAGCGTGAGTATAATACTATACTTTTTCTATGAAATAATTAAAATGCAGATTAAATTAAATTTACTCAAATAAACCATTTTACATTAATTCATATTAACTTTTAATAACATGGATAATAAAATGATTATTTATCAATTAACGGATTATGTTGGTGAATATTTATTGTGAAATTCTGGCAGTTCTGAATAGTAAGTGATGGGGTGGCCACATCCATTTTTTGATTTTCATTGACCTTGGTTATAGTCTCGGTGGTGGTAATAGTGGATTTGCTTTGTATTGAGTGAAGTATTTTTTGGGCAGTTGTCATTTTAATATTTAAGGAGTCAATGATGTATCCCTCCGCCACCGTTGCGGACTTCCACCCCCCATGTCTTTTTAATGCAGTCATGTTGGCTCCTGCATCTACTAGTATTGTGGCAGACGATCTCCTGAAACTGTGTCCTGTATACATTTCGGGGTTGGGCAGATTTAAATAATTGGCAATTTGTTTTCCCATTGCCGAGAATTTGTTAATTCCTATATTTTGGACAGAGCATTTCCCATTTTGATAATTCAAAAAGAGAGACGGCGAGGCAACTGTGGGGGGACGCAAATCAATATATTTTTTAACCATTTCACAAAATTTTCCTGTTACGGTGAACTTTCTAATGATTTTGTTTTTGTGTTGGGCACAGTAATTAGCATGGATGTATTAAAAACTTCAATATGCTCAATATTCATATTTCTTAATTCATGACAACGACAGGCACCCATTACACCAAGAATTAATGCTACCTGAAAAAAAAATCAATGGCAAAATTAGTAAAATGGATTAACAACTTAAATGTTTAAAATTATGGGACTGTCTATGCGTTCGGGCGCTCGGACAAATAGTAGATTGAGCTATATATCCGGGCGTAAAAAATAATTGAAATATCTACTTTCAACCGTTTTTATTTTATTATTTTTCTTTAGTAAAATCAGACAGAACTTTAAATTTCAAAACTAACCGGTGGATCAATATACTCCAACATAAATTTTACCATTGGAAGAATTTTTATTCTTTTTTTTTTTTTAAACGAAACCAACCTGACTTTTTTGGGTGGAACTTGAACTAACCTGTGGAACAATATTCTCGAATAGAAAATATAAATACTTAAAAGAACATAAAAAGAAAAAATAAAATAAAAAAAAACTGCCAAGGCCCGGAATTGAACCTAAGACCTATCGATCTACAGCTCTATGCCCAGTCCACTGCACCACGCCACACGATACCTGTCTACGTGTGTTACAGGATTAAAAACAACGAATGATGACTCAATGCCCGGATATTTAGGGCAATCTACTATTCACATCCGAGCGCTCGGACAAATAGACAGTCTCTAAAATTGTTATAATCATGTTTATTTATTAATTCCTACCTTTGTTGCAAGATATTTTTTATCATCTGCATTTTCAATGAACATATTTATTTCATCTGGAGTATGTGTTTTGGACTTTTTCGCCTTATAGCCATCAGATTTGCGTTTAAGAAAAGTTTTTAACTTTCCGTAAGTTGCTATATTTATGTTTTGTCGTACCTCTAGTGTCGTTCGCAACATCGAATATTGAGTCCAGAGAGACGAAGATTTGTATTTTTCTGCTAGCTCTCCAAAGTAGGCTAGTAACACGGTTTCGGAAAACGAGGTAGTTTTTTTGCGGTCTCGCCAATCCATAAAAGCTTTATACGCTTTTTCGTAAAAATTTCGCGATTTTTTAGGTAGCATGTCTACCGATGTTATTTTCGCTGCTTCTACGATATCCGGTGGGGTATAATTTTCTTCGTTGCTGTTAATATCGTCCATTTCATCCATTTGTGTTTTGATTAGACAATTTTTTGGTTTTTGAGACAAACTTTTACACTTTTTCAGCTTTCGGAGACAGAAGTGTCAAGCGCTGGTCAAGCGTGACAAAATTACAAATGACAACTGACAAGCAGTGTTGTACAGGAATAATACTGTGGTGCCTTTTCCGTTGTCATGGGCAACTAATAAAACTGTTGGCTTATGAAAATTCGTGGCCTGTGATTGGTCAAATACCGTTGGCTTATGATTCATAAGCCAACAGATAAAAATAATGACTACTATTATTTAAAGAAAAAGCGTTAATAATTGACATATTATTCCATAGGCGTAGAAAAACAAATTAATCATATTTTTCTTTTTATATAACATATAAGATTTTTGTCGCTCATTGAACACAATTATCTGTTTTAGAGCTACAATGAAAGAATTGAAAAAAACAGATCAGCAATTCGTAGTGATTGATTGTCACATTAATAGTCTTTTTGAAGTATTAACTCAACTGCAACAAGCTGGCTTGATGAATGATAAATACAGCTACTTTTTGACAAACCTTGATGCTCATACCGAGAATTTAATGCCGTTCAAATTCAGCAATACACATATTATTGGGGTAAGGATACAAGTGAAATTACTAGTTCAATATTGTGCTTTCTATTGTTTAAATAATTTTGTGGTATTATATAATAGCTATACATAATACACTTCTGCTGAAATATACCCCATCCACCCCCTATATGCTGCCCACCCCAACTAAAAAAATTGCAGCCCCTTAATTATTGTCATACATTATTGGAAAGCTAGTAAAACATTATTTTCAATTATATAAGTTTTACCCTATATACTACACAATGTTTCAATAATAAGGGAGAGTGGAAAAATTGAGCGTACTTAAGTGAAAATTGTTATAGCAGTGATAGAATTGTAGATAATTTAAATGTAAATACCGTAATGGGGGTGCTAGTTAGTCTACTATCAGCACGTAAATCAATTTTAGGAAAAAATAAAATAAAAGTACAATACTGCTTGAACTACAAAAGTGCTCCTGCATACCATTCCCCACCGTTGCGGATAATGGTGCGCAAGTGTTGGGGAATCGTGCGCATTAAAAGTAATAAGTATAAGATAAAACCAACACTAACTTTAAAAACATTTATTAAAGTTGTGGAACATAAAAAAACATAATACTAACTCCTAATTTGAGCATAGGTCATATTTATAAATTTTCGGGGTATCTGAGTCAATACATTCGGCATGGTTCCAAGTTAAGCAAAGGACACATCTGTACCATAATTCTCGTCGTTTGCCAGATTCACCGCAAATACCACTAACTTCGGTTAGTTTCCCAGGCTGAATCAAAGGTGGTGGTACGAAGCTCAGCCCAACATCAACTTCAATATCATCCAGCTCATCGTCGTCACAAATATCCTACACATCATCTGATTCAGGCGTTGGCGGTCTCCTTTGTTTGCTCTTGAATTTCTTTGAAGACGACGGAATTGATAATTCACCATCCAAACATTTACGAATAACTTCTTTACTATTCTTATCTTTCAGTTTTTCTTTGGTTTTGATTGCTTCTTCTCGTTGTCTTTTTTTCTCTTCAGCCTCTTCTAGTTTTGTTTTGATGGGAGTGCTCGTGATAATTTCCATTTTCTGTTTGTTCCTAAATTTTGTTTTCGTTACCTGGTTAACTTCTGTTTTTGGTATTGGAGCCATAGCAAAAAATAATTACCATAAGACGTAGATGGCTGAGGGCTCGGATTTCTCTGATGTTGTAAATCTGGGTGATTATCTGGAAGAGTTGCTGCACCATCTTGACTGGATTGAGTTTCAAGTTCAATTGTTGCTTCTACTGTAAGTTTTCCTACATGGAGGCTGGGTTCAAAATCAGCATCGGTAAATTTGTCGGGATCCAATGGAGATATTCCAGACGTCCGATACCCTGAAACTACTTTTTTCATTGTAGCCACTTTCATGAAGGCTTTGTTTAAAAGTTCGGCTACGTCGTATTCAGTTATTTTTTGATGACCTAAATAGTGAATTTTTCGTAGGGCTAAAAAATGTCAGATTCGGATGCTGAGGGTGATCAGATGTGTGTGGAGGAACCGAGACTATGTGGATGTTATTTTCTTTGCAGAAAATATTAGCTGCAATTGAAATGTGGCTGGAATGGTTATCCAGGACCAGAAGGACAAGAGCAGTAACAGAAGGCTTAACATTTGTACAACGCCCTAATTGGTCCATTTTTTTTTTTCGAGAGTTTTGGACACCCTTTTCCTAGGATATATTATTATAAGAAGGATGTAGTTCCCAGCTGTATTCATACAAAATACAACTGTTATTGTTTTTCCTCTTTCCCAGAAATTGCAGCTCCTACTTTTTTAGATCCCTTACCACCATAAACTTTAGGGCATTTGTTCCGCACCGTGGTGATGCCTGTCTCGTACATGTTGTTAACACTCTTGGGTTCCAACTTAAACCTTTCCATGATAGTTTGAAGGTTTGAAAAAAATAATTTCCTATTAAAAGATGCAATCCTATTCAAACTGGTTGCTTCAGGCTACGGTAGCTTCATATCAGGTGCTCTCCTTAAAAATTCATACAGCCAGTTTTTCTCAGCTAATCCCTTTTCCTTGTCGAATTTATATGTAATATTATATTGCTCAGCATATCTAAAAGCCTAAAACACCTTGGTGTTAGGCCATAAAATAGCTTTGCTAGCGTTAAAACGTACTCTTTTAACTCAGATTCTATTTCCTCTGAAAACACAGGCATGCAATCCAAACGTGGTCATTTTCTGACAGTTTTATTCTGAGTATCGATTCAAGAATATTGAAGTACCTTTCTGCATCCCTTATTTTTCTGCCATCATTTCTAATCGCAAATAATGTGTTTTGTAAATCTTCTTAGTTATATGAAAGAATTGTGATTTCCTTGTATAATTTCTCGGCATCTGAAAAAAAAACATATATTTAAAATCAGATTACCCTTTAGACATTAAATAAAGGAAAAAAAGTGGACTCACCATCTTATTTTCCGATGTCAAAAAATTACAGAAACTGGCTGGATTTAAAATAAACAGGGCTCGTTCGGTGCAAACGTAAACAACTGATGTGAGTAATGGCGTTAGTGATGCACAGTAAAAAGGAGAGAGCGCAGCACTAGTCAGTGGCGCTTAAAAGCCTGCGAAATATGAAATAGTTTGATGCGCACGATTACCCGACGCGCACGATTCCCCCACTCTCCCTTACATTTTAAATTGGAGGTTTACTCCAAAATAAAGAACATGTTTAAGTTAAAACCTTCCGCTCTTGTCACTCCAATTTTAATCGTTTAATAGAGAAGATGTCGCGGAGTCGACATCTCGTGATAAACTTTCACTTAGCCTTCGAACTCCTAAGTATTCCGCGAAAAGTGTCCACGATCTGTCCTCGAACTTATCGCATCTAGTGTCGTTCTCGCAGATCAATAGTTATACCTGTCGGCAGATGATACTACATTGGCATATTGTTAAACCGACCTTATTTTTCTTTATTTTCTCGCGAAAAACGTATCTTATTATCGCATATGGCGATGCTGGCCCACTCATCTCGTTTTACAGACGTTATCTTCATGCTTTCGGTAAGTTTCGGGGTCAGTGTTTTTAAATTATACAAGTCGTTGCCATCAACAAAATATGAAGTGAATTTTCGACAGTACAAAAGGCGTTTTTGTACACATGTAAATAAATTGCTTGACTGTTTCTTATAATAGAATAAACAGTGTGCTATTATTCAATTTTTAATTTATGGACAACAAACTTCCCTTTTAAGGCTCAAATATACTTTCACCAATCACGGAAACGCTGATAAACTTTTAATTACAGAAACCCAGTTCTGCCATTAAACATGATCCTTCGAGCCGGGTATTTTGAGACTATTTTGATGCGATATGATATTTAAAATATTTCCGATTCGAAATTTGCGATACGAGATTTGCGACAGATTTTGCAGTTATGAATTTCCGAAACACGTGTGAATTTGGTTTATAAATAGAACAATTTCTCTGCATTTGATAGATTTTTTTTTAATTAAATCATTAAATAGGTCTATGAAATCTTTGTATAACAGTAAGTTACATGAAAAGTATGAATATTAACTTTAGAAGTTTGATATTTTGCGAACTTTTGATATACATTTATTTGAAGTTGGCTATAGGAGTCTGAAGTTTGAAATTAATTTTGGAATGTTTTAATTGCAAATGAGAAATTGAGCCTTGACTGCTGGACGATTTTTTTTAAAGGTATTCATGTTTTATAAAGTTAGGTGATTGTTTAAACAGAGAATTTGTTTTACTTTGAAGCGATCAAAATTATAAAAATTAAAATATACAATAAAATATTAAGAATACATATAAATTGCGTTATATAACGTGCTATATACATTAAATTAGAAAGATACGTAAGTATCTAATAAGTTTGACAAAGATTTTAAATTTATGAAGTATGTAATACTAAGGTATATGTACCTATTAGGTTTAACAAAAACTTTGTATTATTTACAACAAAAACCAAAGGTACCTACTGTGAGTACCGTTTATATATTTTATATACAGGGTGTCCAGAAAAATAAAAAAAAGGTTTTCTGAATTCAGATAGAATATTAAAAAATAGGTTCTCATAAATTTTTTTCCTAGCGGCCCTCCTTACGGAGATACGGCCTCTAAAAGGACGCCACTGGAAATCAATTTTTCTTGAATACCTTTTAACCTACGTAATATAATTTATTGAGAATTTAATATGATAAAGAGTAGTAAGAACCTCTTAAAATACTGCCCTCAAAACCTAATTAGCTTGCTTAGTTTCCAGGGGCGGACTAGGTTGTACATTTTATTGCTTACATTTTTAACACCCTGTATGATAAGGAGTTAAGAAAAATAAATTTTGATACCTTGAACATTGGGCTAAGGAAAAGGTACTCTTATTCATTGTCGATGAAACGCACTGTTTTCGAAAAAAAAAAAATAAAAGAATTCAAGTTTTATTTTTATTAAAAAATTACTCCCAGAATTAACTAATTTCAAATTGGTAAATTCTAAAATACAACTTGGAGTATTATGTTTTCATCCTAAACTTACATGTGGTTCGTGAACTCTGATACACTCGCGGGCCCCACTAATAAAGGACTTCTGTACTCGCCACAACAACCCAGCATTGTTCCTAATTACATCACAATGAAATGTGATTTTCTGTAAAAGTTCCTCCCTAGTATCAACTGGAGAGGAATACACCAAGGTTTTGAGATGAACACACAGGTAAAAATTCATTGGCGTTGGGTCGGGAGATCGTGGAAGCCAGGCAATTGGACCTCCTCTGCCTATCCAACAGTTTCGATCGATGTTATTCAGGTAGTCCCGTACAGCGACGCTAAGTGAGGTGAGGCTCCATTATGCTTCGGTGGGTTTCAATTGGTGAATGCTCTATTGAATCCAGAAAAGCGTTCTGAAGGTAATGTAAATAAAGTTTAACATTGAGTCGTAGCGGCAATACACATGGTCTAATCAAAAAATTGCCGATTATTCCTGCCTAAACATTAACTGATTGGAACTGATGTTGACAATGATGAACAACAG